AATTAGCATAATGTATTAATGTTGATAACAAAATTATTTCATCTGGTACCAATCTAAGTTCTTCTTCCCTTAGATGTTAGATGTGCTTGCAAATAGAGCCACATTTCACACTGAAGGGTGTGTACGACATCAGTAATGTTATGTCATTTCCAAGAGTTTAAGGTTATATCGGTTGATGATGAATTTATTGTTTAGGCCTGTAATAGCATATTGCATCAATTTATTTTGCAAAAACAAGGTTTCCAGCTTCAGAGGGAGGGGGGGGGGTGGGCACATTCCCTGTCTGCACAAGGGCACACATTGGCGCTAACACCAGGCGCGTTAACAGGGGTCTTGGGTGAGAGTGGGTATTTATTTTCCCGGTTAGTAATTTACCATACCCATCCCACCCCACTCCCAATATAGAAAACAATACGACATAGGGCTTATCTTATTCATAATATAGGCCACACACGTGTGTTTCAAACTAAATATCAGTATTTTCATCATGGTTTTATTTATTATAAACATATTCTTTCACATCAATACACATTGAGGCCCTTCTTTTAGGTTAGGTTTAGGACACTTTCAGAGGATGCATTTGTCAAGGGGTGAGGAAAGATTTTCCAAAGATGGTTTTTTTCCCCTTGCCCCCCGGTGTTTTTAATTCTAATTTTGTTGGAATTGATCAAAACTCCCTAAAATTTGCAATTTTTATAGGAAATTGACCCATTTCAACAAGAAATGCGCGCGAAGCGCACGAAATTTGAGGTTTTTAGGCACTTTCAGGGGATGAAAAGGGCATTTATAAAGGGGTGGGAAAGATTTTCCGAAGATAGATATTTTCCCCTTGTCCCCCAGTGGTTACGCCATCGGGCAGCATAAATCAACGGAGTTATGAGAGTTTTTGAAGTGGAGAAGGGGTTGCATCCAGAGTGTTGCGAGTCTGGTCATCATGATATCTTCCTTTTTATTCTTGTCTACTTTTCACTTCACTTTTTCTTTTCCCTCCCTCTCCCCTCTTTCTTTTCTCTTATTTACCCAGCCCGGTACGACGGCTTTGTCAGCCTAGTAAAAACCGTCAGGGGAGGGGCAGTTTTCCCCCATGTCCCCCCTCCCTCCGCGCCTGTTACGACACTGGCTAACACGCCAATCATCCCCCAGGGGAGGGGCAGTGTGCCCCTCTCCCCCACGCCTGTTACCCCACCGGCTAACACGCCAATCATCCCCCCCACCCCCAATGAAAAATACTTTTCTACGTCACTGAATGTGGTATATATGATTTACTGCAATAAATGTAACATGGATACTTATATTGGAGAGACTGGCACTAAGCTTATAGATACAGACTCAATAATCATTAAAAAAAATGAAAACTCCTTAAAATGTGCAATTTATAGAAGAAATTGGCCTACCGCAATAAGAAATGCTCGCAAAGAATTTGAGAATGTTAGACACTGCCCCTCCCCTGACGGTTTTTCTATATCTATTAGAGATATAAGCAAGGGATTTCCTGTGAGTGACCATTTCAATTCATCCAGGCATTCAATTTCTAATTTTCGTTTCATCATCATAGGCATTGATTACAAATCTACTAAAGATAGACGTTGCGCAGAGTTGCGATGGATACCGGTACTCCGTATTAAATCAGATGCTAAGGGTCTTAACAGAGATCTAGGCTTTGCTAGAGGCTATACTTTCACGAATAACTAATTACGCCCATCATTGTCTTATTGTTATTTCATTGTTATTTACTGTTATTCCATAGCTCATGATTTACCTACTTTGTAATGTTTTTGTTCATTCACGTTGAGAAAGTTCTGAGGACAGGACGAAACATTCGTGTGCAATAAAATACGGCATGTTCCTCCAATGTCAACCGTTTCATTTGATTTTATCAATGTCTCTATTATTATATATATATACATATATATACATATATATATGTATATATATGTATATGTATATGTGTATATGTATTTCTGTATATATAAATCATATGTGTATATATAACTCTTTGTTGGACATTTAAAGATTTATCAATATCAACTGTACAATACTGCAATGTGTGTCAAATATTAGCACATTCATTTTTACAGCATTCTAAATTTCTTTGATATAGTACATGTCATTCTTATTTCAGATATGGATAAGGACATGGTACATGATCATTTTTATGCGAAGTTCGAAAGAATGTGGTCGTCAATTACAGAAGAAGCAGAAGAATAAAACAGAAGAAATGGTTCAAATGGAACCAGAAGACAATCATCAGCTAAGAGTATGAATAGCGGTGTGTACATGTACATTCATATGTCAGCTGTCCCTTGTTGTTGTAAAGATCATAATTAATTGCTGTATTTGTTCATTTGAACATGATTTAAGTTACTTTAAGTCGATTGTTGATGTCCAAAAATTCACCACACACACTTTGTGTGACTGGTCGTCTAAGGGAATTAAGGTTATTGGGTGGTATTTCAAGGAAAAATACGTCAGAGATGCAATGGTAGCTAGGCCTTGATAAACATAGGGCCTAGTTATTAGCAGCATGGCCACTGTGACAAGTGAAATTATGGCACTAAATCGACAGGAAATTTTACTGATATCGAAATATTAAATGTGTTTGTAATTTATATTTTAAATATATTAACTTCAACCTAATATATACTGCTTAATCATTGTAAATTAAGACAGTACTGTTGTATACATCACATTGAGTGAGGTTAGAACTTTGAAATTGCTAATTATACTTTATTTCACTTGCTGGTCATTAATAAACTAACACTGAACTAAACAATAAATAAACATATTGATTTAAGTTGACTTCTTTTTTTATTCATGGAGTGTTTGATAATAATTTACCCAGCTACAAGGCTATAAGTATATGATTGTCGAAACTCATTTAAATTGTCAACTATATAAAACACTTTTATAACTACTCCAAACACACAATCTAGTATGGCAGCAGTTAAACTTATTTTTTGAGGATACTCAGAGGAGTGTGGAAAATCCAGGAGAAAAAAATAAAAATAAAATTTGTTGTGAATGTAACCAGTGTAATAATGGGATGGTTAAATGCTTAAATTAATATACAGTAGTTAGGAAGAAATACTGGATACATCTTATTTTGACGATTTCAAGGCAGCAGCAGGCATATTAAGAATAAAAGAAACAATTTTATTTTATCTAAAATTTCAATTTGTTATGGCGGCACTGAGGTGTGCTTCGCCAAAAAGAACATCAATCAATTCCAAATCATCAATATATTGCGGGTAGCAATTTTGCGTAGCAAGTTATAGAAAAAACTCTTGCCTAATCATGACTAAAGGCATACTGGCTGTATATAATATACTACAAAACCTGTAGGCACTGCCCTACTCAAGGTATTCGACAGCAGCCGTGGGCCCGGGGCAGCTTTGCTGCGGGATGGGGCAGTAAATCTCTATCAGGTCTATTAATATATTCTGAATGTATATTGATGATGTCCAGAGACCAAGCCTTCGATAATTATTAATTAATAACGCAAAGAATTTAGTATTGGTACACACGAATAAAAATACAACAAGCAGTACTTTCTAGAACGATTTGTATTACCATAATATTTTACAGTACAGTATTAGATGCAATTTCTTCAAAATATAGAATTATTTAACAAAAAAAGAAAAACTTTAAAGAATACCATGCAGATTAAACCGAAAATAACAAGTCAATTGTACAACGAAAAGAATGAAAATTAACTGAATTCACGATATCGCTAAACTATTTGTGATAAGCCTACCCTGCATACAACCTACCGGTCACTGGACCAGAGATCAACATACTGTTAAAAAAAATGAAGTTCTTTTTAAAAAAAGTTTAAAAAATACAAATGAAATACTAAACAATATGTTTCAAACATAATAATTGTTTACTAATATAAAATTAGCGCTCAGAAATCGACCTAAACAGTGATGGTATTGAAGCACGTTTTCTATTTGTTTACATAATTTTTTATTGTAATTGTTTGTGTTAATTATTAAAATTAATATTCATGAGGTGATAATACGGATAGAAAAATACGCCCTCAGTCAGCCAGTTTTATGAGTAGATCAGTGATCAAGTTTTATTATGTAATGCATTAATTAGGTAAGATCAATGGCAACGCAAATAACAAATAATCAATTTGAACCCATGTTTATAGCAATTAACAGTCAATTAGCAATGTTATGTGCACTTCGTTGAGTTTTGCTTACTTGAATGGACTGAAATATACTTTGTTACTTCTTAATTCTTCCTCTATGACAAAAATATTTAATTTTCTTAGTAAAAATAAAATACCTAAGGATTGAACGGAATACTCAAGAACCCAAGATCAAGTCAAAATACCCAAGATCTTGGGTAAATACCCAAGCAGTGTTCACGCTGGTTATGGAGATAGGAGTTATCTATCTTGCGCCGCTTAGCGGCGCTATACGATCTTTGGTAGAGGACACATGTTGGAACAAGCCTAGGCCTAGTTGGCACCTGCAACTGTAGTGTGAACCCAGTTTTCTTGCAAACATTCCAGAAATGGCTGACACCGATCATGATTTTCCATTTAAGGCAGAGTATGCTAAAAGTGGTAGATCTAGTTGTAAACTATGTAAGAATTCGATAAGTAAAGAGACGCTGCGACTTGCTAGAATGGTACAGGTAAGTAAGGTAGGCCTAGCCTAGGCCCTAGGCCAGGCTTTTTTAGGCCTAGGCTAGTACAGTCATGTAGGACTGTAGGTAGGCCCAAAATCAATCCAGCGGACCGATTTTGCTTTGGTATAAAATTAATAGCCAAAAGTAGGCTAGCCTAGGCATGCTACGAGATGCGTGACGTCACTCAATAATTACAAGGCCACAGGAATGAAGGTTGTAGATTTGTGTCTGCAAAATATTGTAAACACGTGAGGCTAGAGATACGGTACCGTATTTCTAATTCAATTTGCTTAAGGTACGGTAAATGTAGTTACCTCGCCATCACCCAATGAAGAGCCTGAATGTGCATTACATCATCTTTCAAGACTGGCATTGTAGATCACCCACGATGAGCGGTGAATGCGAGCGATAATGTTAAAAAGTACAATACTTGACTTAGGCCTAGTACTGTCATCGATTAATAGGCATATGGTTCCTCTCAGTAAGAGCAAAGAGTATATAACAGAAGAGAGTCCACTCAGACTTATATGCGTTCCGCTCGACGACAGAATACCCTCTTCAAGCTGTGGTGGATAAACTTTGTGATGGATTTCCTGCACATTAAAAATCGTAACTGTACTGGGTTTGGTCTACAGGAGTTTGTGCTTCGACCCAGGGGCGGCACCAAAGGGGGGGGGGGGGGGCAGGGTAGAGTTCCTATATAGAGAGAGTTGCGACATGAGCAGTTCAGGTCAGGTCTATCAAATGACATAAAATTTTCTTATTAATATTTTTATTTATTTTTTTCAATTGTCTATTATTTTTTCAATCGCCACACTGTAGCATAGGCTTTGCGTTCACTCATGCATGCATGAACAAGATCGGAGATCTAAAGATGCAATCCCTACCATGCATCAGTGGCGGCCCTCTGGATCTCAATAGAGATTCTTTAATAATATATAAATTTTAAAAGGCAAATGGGAAAAACCCATAAAACAGCAAACGGCCACATAATGCAAAACTATTTAAAATNNNAACGGAACAGTAGAGAAAATCCGATCAGAATGACAAAATAAACTAAGCATCCACTGGAAGGAATCCCAATATCTGCAGACGGATCCTTTTCGGCCTTCCAGGCCCACAGCACGTACTGAAGCTGGAAATTACGTTTCGGTTACATGTTTTGGGTTTGTGACACTGTATTAAGTAAGTCATTAAAATGTTCGAAATTACTCTTTTTAAAAACTAAATAGAGCATGTTTTAGCATATAATAATTTTCAATCAGCACCGCCCGTGCTTCGTGAGGGTCAAAGTACGGCGGATCACCAAACTCATCCTCAGTGACGAGTTAAAATCTAGTTTAATATTACTTTATTTTGCTGAATGAAACATTGAAATGTATTGATATTGCCTATGGTAATAAATTATTAGTTGCTACTCAAAAGTATGTATTTAAATTTACAGTATAAATTGGGTCATTCCGGCTCAAAAAATTAACCACCATGCCCATGAGACCCCACTTTGATTTTCCTGAAAAAAATTCTAAAAATACCTTGATATGTCAAAAGAAAGAATCCAAAATTTCAGCTTCAATTTCCAAGTTATGACATTTTGAAATTTAGGTACATTCTAATAAAGTATGCTACCAAAATTTCAATGGTATTTCTTGAAAGAGGGGCCAAATTTCAGTCTATGTAGCAATTTTCAACTTTTTATCTTCATTATTTCTGGAGATATAGCTTCGTAAAAGCCATACAAAGTTAAAGGAGCTATTTACGGCATGAAAAAGTACCTAAACTTCAAAATGTCATAACTTAAAAACCGCTTGGAATTAGAAGCTGAAATTTTGGATTCTTTCTTTTGACAAGGTACTTTTAGAATTTTTTCAGGAAAATCCAAGTGGGGTCACATGAGAACTTTCAAATTTCTGGCTGATTAGAGCCAGAATGACACATTTTTAAAGTTTTAATTAATTGAGAAGATAACCTGTTGTCTCATTTTTATTCAATTTGTTCATTCCGTCCCACCACCAAAATGTTTATCGTTGCCATGGTGAATTGATCAAGTACTATATTTTCTGTTTTATGTCAAATTGAAGTAGGCATGTACATTGCTAAGGATCATAAAACAAGTTTCATAAACTGAATTGAGGCAATCAATATGGTAAATATGTAATGTCATATCAAAATTCACACAATGAATAAATTTAGAATTAGCTGTATATTAACAAATTGAATAAGGTAAAGACGTTGCGGCGTTTTTTTATAGGACATATTTCTTGTTTAGTGCATGTGTTGTCATGTAAGCAGCCCTCGAAATTAGGACGAAATGTCGTCGGCAAAAAAATGCCGACGTAAACTAGACAGGCGTCGGCACACGTCGGTATTTTTTTATATTTGGATTTTTTCCAAAGCAATAACAATCACACGTAATCGACGATGTACTAGACTATTCAGTGTTTGCTCATCTTCGCGATCCCGTGAATGCGCGACGTTTTGATATACACAGTTTCTGACGAACAATCTATTTCTGCAGTATATCAAACTGGGCATTCCCAGGCAAAAGGAACAATAAAAATTGAATTAAAAGAATAAAACCAAAACAAATAACCTCTACCCTTAATGATTTATTCCACACATCATCACATGGTCGCCCAAGAC